CTATTTCTTGGGCAAAGCTCAGCAGCTGACATGCGGAGGAGAGGAGCTGGGCAGAGGGCAGGAGCTTCAGGCTGCAGCAATTCACACCAGAGCAGGATGGCTCTGTTGGCCTGCCTGTCCCACCACACAAACCACTGGACGTTTAGCCCACAAGCAAGAGTTATGGGGAAAATAAGGCTCAGCAATATTTAGACACCTCACCTCTGCCTCAGCTGCTAGCACAGGTGTACAGCTCACCTGCCCTATACACAGGGCAGCCATGCTAGTCCTTGCCTATAAATAAGCCAGTCAATTTTATTTTACAGGGAGTCAGACCATTTGTCCAGAGAGATGACTTCAACATCCATCATGCTGTCAACCTACAGCTTAAATTCCCAGACGAGCAGATGAGCTTGGTTTCCTCCTCTTCATTTTATAGAGGGGAAACTGAGGCAGATAAAGGCACTACTCTTACTCAGAAATGTTTTGCTGAGTGAGATGGAGAGGTAGTCAGCTACTACAACAGCAAGGGTCACCATGTTTTCCTGTATTACACATTAGATGTGCCTCCACACACCTGCATGTCTCCCAAGCTCCCACTACACCCAGCTGAGTGCTTACAGCTAGTCTGAGAGCCTGAAATCTGCTTCTAACCCTCCTCTTGCAGAGGCTGGAATCACCCAGCTATACCCAGACATAGCTGGATTTTTTCCCAAAAGGTTTGCTTTCCATGGCCTAAATAACATATTTAGACATTCCACAAAATTATTTTTAACACCACACAGCTACCAGTCCTACTCCTCCAGAAGCCTGTAGATATCCTGCTTGTTATTCGTTTTAAGAGCTTGAGAGGAAGCAATAAACAGCTACTGTGATTGCACAGCTACAACACCTGGACTCTACATTTTTCAAGCCCCAACTGCACTGTGTTAGCCTTCATCCAGCATATGTGCTAAAGGCTAATTCTTTAAAAAAAGCCATAGAAGAGGTCTTAAGAGCTCTCCCCTTACTCATACTCCCATCTCCTCTTCAGAAATGCAGGTTGACTCAGCCCATGATACATCATCTGCTGTGAACAGTGACAACTTTGCATTCTGCCAGGATCTTACCAGCATCACAAGCTTGGGCCAGCCCCATGCCCAGACAGCACTGGACCACCACAGCAGGTGTCAAGAGGTTCAGGACTCCCAGGCACATTTTTAGAAGTCTCCTGCCATCCTCAGAACAACACAAACCTTTCCTGTGGGGCTTTCAGGTGTATGTAATCCGCAAACATCTTTCTGAATCAGGTAGTCCTTTCCACATAGGTGGGGCCATTAACTGGTGCAGAAAAGTGATACAAAGTCTTAAGATTAAAACTAGAGAAGCAGGAACAACTGCTCCTCCTTCAGATGACACCTCTGCTCAGTTAACTGCCATCACACATGTCACTAGATAGAAAGCGGGGATGTTACAAGCTTCTTTGCTCTCAATCTTATCACTTGACAGATTTTCCTACAGTTACATCAACCAGAGGAGAGCACTGTACCCTTCCAGAGTGTTGTACCATACCCCATTTCCTCCACCCCCCACCCCGATTAAACTCAGTCTCTAAGAGCACAAGACAGTATTTGTTCCTGCTTTAGTGCTCTGTGACACTGGTTAAGAGGAAAACACAAGTCCACAGGGCTTCCCAATCACATTACCCCAACCTGAACAAAGCACGGGAAAGCCCACCATGGCTCCAGACATCATTTTAAAGTTTACAGTACCACAACCTACGCACAGCAGCTGTTAACCTGAGGTTTGGCATCGTTTTCTCCCAAAGCTCACAATACTTGTTATTCTACTCGAGGCCTCTAGGTCTGCAGTCAAGTGAAATACTGAGATTCAAGCATTCCTGGCAGCTTATACTGACATGCAGAATCATAGAATTGTCTAGGTTGGAAGGGACCTTTAAGATCATCTAGTCCAACCATCAACCTAACTGATAAAAAACCATCACTAAACCATGTCCCCCAGCACCGTGTCAACCCGTCTTTTGAATACCTCCAGGGATGGTGCCCCAACCACTTCCCTGGGCAGCCCATTCCAATGCTTAAGAACGCTTCCAGTGTAAAAATTTTTCCTAATATCCAATCTAAACCTCCGCTGGTGCAACTTGAGGCCGTTTCCTCTTGTCCTATCGCCTGTGACTTGCAAGAAGAGACCGACCCCTGCCTCTCTACACCCTCCTTTCAGGAGCGATAAGGTCTCCCTTCAGCTTCCTTTTCTCCAAGCTGAACAACCCCAGCTCCCTCAGCCTCTCCTCATAACACTTACCCCCCAGACCCCACACCAGCATTGTTACCCTTCTCTGGACCCACTCCAGCACCTCAATGTCTTTTTTTGTAGTAAGGGGCCCAAAACTGGACACAGTACTTGAGGTAGGGCCTCACCAGTGCTGAGTACAGGGGGACAATCACCTCCTAAGTCCTACTCAACATGTTGTTAATCTCCAAGACAATCACAAATCAGCATAAAAATTAAATTTAAAACATAGTTTAAAAAAAAAACAAACCACAAACCACTTATGTTATCCCATGGCACTTTTTTTTTTTTAATGTCTGGCTGATGATTTTTTTAAAAGCTTAGTGCTGGCAAACCTTTTGAACATATGGCCTGAGAAGAGCACATCATGCTCGTTGCCAGAGCAGAAGCACGCAAGGAATACTTGGTGAATCCACCCCAGTGCTCCTTGCACAGCTGCAGAGGCCAGGTTTGCTTAGCAAAATGTGCAATTAGGTCCATGCAAGGGGAAATCTTTCTCAGCATCAGCTAAGAAATTTCACACCTCAAAGGATACCCAGTGATAAAGTACAGAAAGCCTTACAGATAGTTCAAGTTCTGCCATTTTGATGCAACAACAAAACGGACCATTCAAGACTCAGACATTCAAAGTAAACCAAGTATTTCCACCTCAGACTTTATGTGGACAGCATGCAAAGGTTCTGGCAGGAACAGGGGAGCTGCTGCTCCACTCGGTGGAAGGCAACGCATTTGGTACAGCTGAAGTTTCTCACCACTGTCTTTAAATCCGAGATGAGCTCCTGCAGGCAGGCGAGGAGAGGTGGGAGGATTCAGTCCTCAGAGCAGTCTTATCAATTCAAAAAGATTTAGACAGTGAGGAACATGTGAGCTATAGACAGTAACATGTGAGCTATATTATGGAAACCAAACCTAGTTTATTTTACATAAGGATCAATATTTGTAAAGCGCTCTGACCATGAAGAACATTGTGCATGGAGCTGTGCCTATATGATTTATGTCACTGCCAATCGTCCTCATTGCATTAGTTCATTCTCTGAAGCTGCCTGTCAAAGTCACAAGCAACAGCAGCTCCCCAGCACTGTCTGTGTGCTGCTACAGACAGTCCCACATGGAGTCCTCCTGGGCAATACAATCTTCAGATCAGTAGATGGCAGGGTCTTGATTCATTGGGTGCATCAAATTGGGGTGGAGGGAGAAATTTTCTTATTTGATGGTGACAAAACAGCCAAGCAGACTTTCCAATCAGATAGTTTGTACTACCCAGCTTAGTTTGCCACACAGAGACCAAGAGAAGAGTGATGCTCTGGAGAACAAGAACAACATTGTCCAACTTCAGAGAGATTTTATACCATTGTATGAAGGGTCCTAAAATTTTATGCCTGAGGCCTCATATCAGTCTCTGTGCAGCAGGATGCCAAGGCAAAGACAGGATTCTTCCACTCCAGCCCATTGCAGTTTATCAGAACCTCCTCTGGACCACCTGAATTGGCCAGTGAATGGACAGACTAGACTGTCTGTTTGATCTAGAAAAGCAATTTCTTCAGGAGTATGTATATACATATACACATCTGTATATACCTGCTTATAAGATCCTCAGAAATAAATATAGCTCTAGAACATGAAAAATAAGATGCAGTTGCCCCTAAACCTGGCTAAGGCAAGGCTAGAAGTTACTGGTTTTCTGAGAGCCCCTTGACGCGCAACAGCTACCATCTCCACTGGAATAAGCAAGGACTCAATGGGTCACATCTAAACAAGTAAACTGTTTGGATTATTCTGCCTCCTCAGGATATTCCTGAGCACAGCCATGTCCCCGTGTCCGAGGCTGGCGACTGCTGGCCTCTTTTCCCCTTGGCTGTTTTCAGGAAGTCCTACAGGAAGGACCCGAGGTTCAACACCCAAGTTCACCAAAGTGCATCCCATGCGCACGGGATGTTAAAGAGAAAGACGCTGCAGTCTTAGGAGAGGGAAAGCTCTGCTTATTTTTTCCTTTCAAAGATAAGGAGAAGCAGCACTAAGGCAGCTGCCATCGGGACCCACGGCATTACCGTGGGGTGTCACCTGCACCTGGAGCGTGACAAGAAAGAATGTTCCCTGAGCAGAGGATGCTGGAAATACCCGAGAAAATGAAAGATCTCCATTCGGATGCAGCACACGGGACCAAAGCCCCTGAACTCAGCTCAAAGGAGGCTGCAGACTTCAGAGCAAGAGAAGAGGGGAGAAGGTGGGAGGGTCGGCAGCCCCCCCGGCCCAGACCCCGCCAGGGCAGCTCTCCCCCTCCCAGGGTGGCAGCCACAGCCGAGGAGCGGTGTGTGGCAGAGAGGGGGGGGCTCTGCACAGGAACGGGGATCCTCCGTCCCCGTCCTTCTCCGGCGGGGGACCACCGGCAGCTGGGGACGAGGCCGGTGGGTCGCTCCAGACAGGCCAGGACACGGAGCACACGGGGGGGAGCACACGGAGGCCCCCCACCCTCCGCTCCCTTCTCCCCTCAGCCGCGGCGGAGGGACGGGGGAGCCCGACCAGGCAGGGGCGAAGGCGCCGCCAGGGCCCTTCGCTGTGGCGGCCGCTCCCCAACACCTCGCCTGCCCCGGCGGGCTCGGGCCCCCGAGGGGGTCCTGCCCGCCGGCCCACGGCCGTGTAAAACGGCGAGGGGAGACCGCCCCGCCGAGGGGACCCGTCCCCAGGGACACACCGCCCTCAGCCCGCCCCGGGGAGCCCCTCGCAGCCCTTACCTGATCCGGCCAAGGGGGAGCAGGCACCTGCGGCCGCCCTGCCCCGGGGAGCGGAGCCGCCGCGAGCGCTGGAGGCGGCCCCGACCCGGAAATGAGCGAGGGAAACCCCGCCGCACGGCCCGGGGCCGGCTCCCGCCGCCTCCGCCCGCCCCCCGGGATAAAGCAGCCGCCACAAACCTCCCCCCCCGCCCCGGCCACAAACCTCCCCCAAAAGTCAGGAAACCCGGGGCTTGCGCGCCCGTCCCTGCGGGCAGCCGCTCCCCCGGCATCGCCCCCATCGCCCGGCGCCTCCCCTGCTTTAGGGGAGAAAGCTCAACTTCGGCGATTACCGGCACCGAGTTGGGATGTTTGTTTCTCGCTGGCATTTAGGGGTGAAAAAAAAAGCTATTTGGTTTATCAGGTGCATGCTAAAAATGTTAATTACAGCCCTTGCGCCCGCCCCGCGGCAGCGCATCAGAAAGCATCTTTCTACAGTTTGCTGCTGTCAAAAGACCTGGGAAAGGCGGAGAGCCCCGGCCCCGCGGCGGCTGTCGGACCCGCGGGAACAAACCCCATCCTGCCCGGAGATGCCCTCCCCGCCCCCGGGGATGGGTGCCCCCACTCCGCAGCCCGGCCGCAGTCCCGGTGCGGGGACCAGGCGCGGGTCCCGGGGCTCTCCCGCAGCCCAAGGGCTGGCGGATCCCGTGTGCCCCGGCAGGAGATCCAGCAGGCAGCCCGTGGTATCGACGCGAAATAGACATTAGTAGTGAAATAGTGTCATCTCTCCCAGCACCTGGTGAGCAGAGGTAAGAGACAAGGCTCCATTTCCCCAAGAGGTCATATAGAATCATCCAGGTTGGAAGGGACCTTCAAGATCATCTAGTCCAACCACCAACCTAACTCTGACAAAAAAAATATCACTAAACCATGTCCCCCAGCACCGTGTCAACCCGTCTTTTGAACACCTCCAGGGATGGTGCCTCAACCACTTCCCTGGGCAGCCCATTCCAATGTTTGATAACCCTTTTGGTGTAAAAAAATTTCCTAATATCCAACCTGAACCTCCCCTGGCACAACTTGAGGCCCCTTCCTCTAGTCCTGTTGCCTGCGAGTTGTGAGAAGAGACTGACCCCCGCCTTTCTACACCCTCCTTTCAGGTAGCTGTAGAGAGCAATAAGGTCTCCCCTCAGCCTCCTTTTCTCTCGGCTGAACAACCCTCAGCCTCTCCTCATAGACTTGTGCTCCAGGTGCCTCTGAATAGGGGAGGTTTCAAATTTGTGAATAATTTTTCACTACACCTTTCACAGGTTCCAAACTCCTGCAATTCCCACAAGATGATGCTTAATTCCTCTCAGGAACCAGAGTCTACGCAGAAGCTCCAATGAAAGAGACTTACGTCATTCGGGGCATTTTGGCTTGAGGAAGTCAGAAGTGGTCCAAAACGGATCATTTTTTCCTCAAGGTCAATGCCTCATTCATCACACACTGATGCATGTTTACCCTGCGAGGATTTTGAACGGGATGAACAGGATAGGGCCCAGCAAAACAAACCCACAGCGTACAGTATATTCCAAGAATATTTAATAAACCTTTAAATGGCAAGACAAGCAACCTACCACAGCCAGGTAAATATATTTAGAAAGTTTTTATTAGAAGGTATATTTCTGCCAAAATAAATAGTTACATTTTCTTCAGCAAAACATTAGAAAAAAGAAACAGGAGCAAAAAAAGCATCAACAATTTAATACTGAACTTTTAAAGTGACTGTGAACACTACTTAGTGACATTGCTGTGTAAATACATGACTTGCGTATGCTATTGCTGGTCTAGTTGCTGCTCTGACATCAGTAATTTCCACAGGATCTCCACGTGTGTTGTGTGTTTAAGGGTCTTCCCAAACTCGGCGACAGCAGCCGAGTCCCAGGGACAAATATGTCCCTGGGACTCAAATATAAGTCAGAGAGCTGCTTTAGATGCTGTTTTCAAGAGCAAGAGAAAACCCGGGAAGAAAGAGGTATTTATTTCAAAAGTTACATTTCTAAGTCTTCTGTTTGGAACTAGAGGTTTCCCCTCCCTGTGCAGGAGGGCTGGTGTGGGTCCACACAGTGAGACTGTCCTAGTGCGGGTTGGAAACAGCAACGTGCCACCCGTGGGCAAGGGGAAGGAGGGAGAGGAGACAGCGCAGGGACACGGGGGGGCAGGCAGGCCAGAGCCCACCATCAAGGCACAAGGTGTGTTTGGCACAAACTGGCAGACACAGCAGCCAGGTGAGGTGGTCCATTCACTCATTGATTTAAGGGGAAGATGGAAACCAAGCTTGAGAAAACTGCTGGCAAGGTCCTCTGACTTTGGCGACGCCCAACCCCACCACCCACCGCATCCAGCATGCGTTTAGCAGAAATGGACCCCTAAGGGAAGCACACAGAGTTTCAGATATTCCTCCCACAACCACTTTAGTGAAAGCGAGAGCTCTTCTCTCAGAGGAAGGAGTGAATTACCAGATTCATTCTTAAAAATGGACAAAACCACTGGGGAATATATAGTAAGCTCTAGGGACACCCCAGTGCTGGCAGACAGCAGATCGTCTCTTATTCTCTGGTCTGAGTGCTGCAGCTACACAGCCCTCTAAGTTACAAGAAAACAATTCCTAGGTCCTATAGATCACGGTCAGAAGTGAAGTATTTTCTCCTACCCCTTGAAAATCAGCTTGCAACAGTATTAACAGTAGGGCAGGCAGCAAACCAAACCCAACATACCACACGCGCATCGTGGCTTACAGAGCATGCCATAGATACGGACTGTTGTGCACGACATAAACAACTCTACAGTGTTGTACGGGTTAGGGGCTGGTTAGATGCAGGAGTAGTTCACCATTAGCCTTGTTAAAAGCAGCAGGTAGTATCTGTATCACAGGAAGGAGAAAAAAAAAAAGTGGATTCCTGAATACACAGACCCTTTATGTAAAACAGTAGAAACTGCTAGAGTTGGGACTCTTGCAGAGTTCAAGTGAATGCTGTAAGGATGATTGGACATGGACTGCAAGATGGACTTTTGGTCCAGGAACCTGACCTCTCAACCACCATATATTGGAGAGCAGACAGGCCCTGGCAACCACCCACTGGGCCGCCCAGCCACATTTTGCTGAGGAAGGGACTGACTGCTACAGAGGATAACCTTGTTCCTATGATCTTGACAATGTAGGTTAATCAGCAACTGCTGCCCGGAAGATAATGCACGCCATGAGGAACACACAGAACAAAGGCTTGAAGAATTCCAGTTAGCCCTATCACAACAAACCCCTCTATATCCAATCCAGAGCCTATCACAAGGTTTCCAGTTATTTCAAAGAAGTGAGCTAGACAAGGCAAAAAGCAGCCATAGGTCTTTTTCTGCATCAGTGGACAAGAAGATTTCCCCTACTTCCTTCATCCTTTATAATCTGTGATGAACGAGCAGCAAAAATTTCAAACAAATGTGTGAAACTTCTCTTAAGGAAGAAGAGGGTAGTTTGGGGTAGTTTTGACAGGTCTGCAGTTCCTTTATCAGACCTTAAATCTATAAAACCAACAAGCTATCACTCAACAGCCACTGAATTACTGGGGGAATAAGCACAGGCAAAGAAAGGGTTAATACAGTGGTGCTTTCCCAGTATCCGTTCACACCCTGCAAATTAGCATAGGGAAAACAGGAGTTTCCTCCCTGAAGAGTTAGACCTTTATATTTAAAGCCAGGCTTTGGTTTGTGGTTACACTTTGAAGTGTACAAAAGCATCTCTTTGAATGGTTAATATAAGAAACCGAACAGCAGTCGAAGTAAAAGACAAAAAAACCTCAGGCCTTTTACCAGGCACAGCAGTTAATGTCTTGAAACATACAGACCAGAACCAGCAAGCCTTCTGGATCAGAGCACTGGAAGACAGTGGCACCATCCCAGTTAGTTCTGATGCAAAAGGAGAACAGAGGAGACCCAGGGGATAAGGGTGCCAAGCTGCAATTTCTTAGTGCACTGTTGCCAAGAGAGTTTTATTTCATAGTTTAGTGGTTTACATAATCACTCAGTGGTTTTACCAGTCCAGGAAGAAGGGATAAAAAAATAGTTGCATCATTTTCTCCACCCATATATCAACACAAACAAGGCAGAGTCAAAAGGGCAGCAGCTTCTAAGCACAGGACTTTCCTTATCCAGCTTTGCTCCTCACAGATGTTTTGCTTCTGGATGAAATACCTTCAATCTTGCCACTAAATATCTGTATATTCCTGCCAATTGCTCTGTGTGCTCTAGGGACAAGAGATGTGCATTTGGCAAACTAAGCAGCTGCACATGTGCTGGTCCCCCAAAGAAGGCAGCCCAAAGCAGTGGAAGAAAAGAAATCCCACACCAAACCGCAAGATAAACACCTTTTCTCAACTCCAATTTTCATCAAATTCATCCTGTTCCCACTAACTGGCAGTTGCTTGTTATGATTCACTTTGTTTAGTTCTATCCATCTAGCAGTAAGTTTTTTCTGCAGGCTTTAGACAATCACAAGATTGACTTGTTTTATAACCCAGTATTCCTATTCTGGTTTCCGAATCCTCTTTTTTTTTTTCCTCTTCCTGTAGCGACTTCCCTGTTCCCTAATTGCCTTAACTATGTGAAGCTTAAGACTAAATCTGACTGCGTAAGTGCAGGCCTGCTTCAGAAGCAATGCAGGCCCTTGTTAGGTTACATCCAGGAAGGGCAGTGGGGCGATACTCTAAGTCACGAGCTCGTATTTGCACTGGTGTCTCCCAGGCAGTGGGTTAGCACCACAGCTGCCTGCTTTATTGCCTCCCAGCTTGCAATGGCCACTGCAGAAAAGTCCTGATGCTTATTCACAGTCTCCACCACAAAGACTCAAGCCCACGTCCAGTGCACAATTGTGCTGGTCAGAAACAGCACCCACCACCTCACCCACACTGCTCCTGCAGATGTGATCAAGCAGATTCACTACTTTCTCCAGCTATTAGTAGAACTTGTGCGGTTAATTTCCCTGTCTAAATCAAAAGTGCATAAGAGAGTCTATTATATATCACTATTCCACATATAGGCTATGTAATCAGCTTCAGACACCCTGTTCTGCTCTCCAACAAAGACAGCATATGTTTGCTTTGGCCAGTTGCAGACTGTTTGTGCTAGGAGAGGTAGAAGAAGCCTCATGCAGCTAGACACACTGCAGAAAAAGATACCAGGAGCTGGTTTTGTGTCAGTGTGTGAGGACTGAAGCTTAAGTACATGCAATCCCCACAGGAAGCCACATCTCACCCTGTGAAGGACAGAGTTCACGTTTCTGCACAGCAAGTCACAACCAGACCACCACTGAGAAGGCAATACCTTACAAAGGCAGAGTCCTGCCCTGCTACAGACCCAGTAGCTCCAGTCTTTGAAGGGCAATCCAAAAGTAGCCAGTCCAGTTCCAGGCATGCTGCACATGCACCAACACTCCTAACTTCACTTCCACTTCTCATGCTCCTGCTGTTGCCAGCTGCAGAGCTGTACCAGCGAGCCACGACACAAGACAGGCAAGCTGTGAGGCTAGTACAGCTATAAGCCTAAATCCTTTCACTCCAAGGCCTCAACATCCAAACTCTTCAAGCAGAAGACAGAGCCAAGCCCCAGTTTTGCAGGAGATCCCTTCTGTATCACCCACTTGGACCTTCCTTCAGTTGTACAGTCCCTTAAGGAGCAAAGCCTGACCCCTGTCAGAGGCAACCGCTTCCCCAGCACTTGCTGTGATGCTTCACCACAAGCCACTCAAAAATAACATGCCCAGCACAATCTCACCTTCCTACAAGCACTTCATGTTGCATCAGCTGCTAAACTGATCCTGAGCTTTTCCAGGGCAACCCCACACTAATTTCATTCACAGTGACAAGAATGGGGCCTCAAATTCAACACGTTTCCCTGGAAAAAAAAAAACCAACTGTCTAAATTACTTCTTTAAAATAAACTCAATGACTTAACATTCAGAGTTTAAGCTGCAGCAGTTCCATGAGAACAAAGATCAAAACGGGAGAGACCACAACAACATGAATCATAAATACTTAACTTTTCTACATTTCTGCAGTACCAGCACAGTCTGCAGCAGGGCCAGCTCTGGCTTCCAGTGGGGATGCAGTTAAGGGACGGAGGAAAGGATGTGGCTTCAGCAAAGAAGAAAGTCAAGAGGAGATTTAGAAACCATGAGAAAAACTGGTTTGGCAAGAGGCTACTTCATCTTTCAGTAGCACAAAGAGCTAAGGGATGTCAGATGATTTAAGAAAAAAACAAGACTCATGCTCTAAAAAACAGAGGAAGCTGTATGAACTTCAGAACGTCACCTACGTCCTAATTATTTGGCGATAAAAAGCCAACGGCAATTCAAAGTGCATTATTTGGGAGAGCCCAGCTGGATCAGCATCAGCCTGGCCACGGGCAATGGCCAGGCCTCAACACCAGTCTAGAGCAAGGTAGCAGCCCATGTGTGTCTTTGAACACAGAGACCCCTTGCTTGGCCCAGTGGGCAACAAATGGCTACAGTCAATTCCACCAGCCTCCATCCCGGGGAAACCCCCTTTGCAGCATAGTCAGGAGCACAGGGCAGTCCTGCTGCTGAGGGATGAGACTGGTCCCCTTCCCACCCACCCTCATCCCCGCATGGCAGCAGGCTCAGAAGAGTGGCAGGCACTCTTTTGCACAGTCTAGAGGTGGAAGCTTTATCTGAAACCCTTCCCGAGGGAAGAGGGAAGCCTGCATGTCCACGTTGATGCAGAGTAAGCCCAGCATGAGCTGGCGCTGGTACTCCTCCCACTTCATCATGACATCAGACACGGAACGGTTGCTTCTTATCCACACAGGCAGGGCTTCACCACAAGCTGACGTGGAAGAAATTGGCAGGTTCTGCGGCCCTCCAAGCTCGAGATGATAGTAAAGCCTGAAAGGCAAACACATGCAAAGAATCAGTACATTGGGCAGACTTGAGCAGGTCACCAGACCAGAGCTCTAGAACCATACACTTAGTTTGTTTTACCACTGACTGCATGAGCATGGTCAGGAATGTGTGTGTGTGTGTGTGTACGCTTGTTTCCCCCCCTCTCACCCCCATCGCTTGATTATTCAGATCACAAGCTCTTGTGCTTAAGAATCACTCCCTCATACTCGGATCCAAATCACAGCTGGGATCCTCTGCCTACTACTGTAAGGTGCAGTTTCCTATCCTCATCCAAGCAAGACAGTCTTGCCTCAGCCTCAAGCCACAACCCACTGCAGGGAGTTCGGTTCAGAGGCAGAGGCACACACACAGACCCAAAGCACTGTGGGGTCCCAAAGCACAAATGAGACTGTGTCTCATTTGGAAACCCCTAGTGTTTCCTGGCCACCCTAGTGCCTCCCCAGCCTAAAAAAGGGCCTAGACCTTGAGGCAGATAAGGCCACCTGAACACAAGTACCTCTTGGAAGGAACATTTAGGGGACCCTGGGCTAGCAAATGCCACACAGACAAATGCCCCCATCTTCTACAGAGAGCACAGAATAAGCTAGCATATTGTTTTAATTAGACCTACATCTTCTGCTCTATTGCTATAATAACAGCTTAATTGCAGGGTCTGCCCTGTAATGGGAAGAAGGAGGGAGACCAAGTGCCAAGTCTATCCAACAATTAAGGAAACCAAGGGACCATGGATCAGATCTGTATTTTAGATTGGGCAGTAAATCCTTCTGGTCAGTTTGTGCTTGACCTGCTCTGCTTCAATGGAGTAGAGTCTGCAGAAGTCAATGGTGAAAGGGGAAATGGAGGGGTCCTCCAGAACAGTGCTGTGGAGGAAACCAGCCATACCTGGCTGAAAGATGGCTGCCCAGTTTCTTCTTGGCTTTCTTCACAAGATAGTTGCAGATTTCAGTCATCTGCTCCCTCATCCATCTAATATCCTCAGGGATATCTGGGAGCCATTCCAACAATCTGGGAAGAAACAGGAGACAACCATTAGCTGGGCCCACAAAGAACAGGATGGAAAGAATGACAGTTTTGCCTCCTAACAATGATTACTCATTATTTTTTGTGACAAATGCATTAAGAGCTATTTACACTACCATTCACAGAATTAAGGGGAAGAAGGTGCGAAGCATGAGAACAGCCCAGGAACTTATTCTTCACATTTTGTGTCAGCACTTTCCATGTTTTCCATCCATTTTCAGATTTGGAAAGTGTTTTTCCCTAAGCCTTTCTATCACAAACTGTGTCCTCCCAGAAATTTTTCATGGGGTACTTCATACTAAGGACAAGTCTGACAGACTTGCCTTCCCAGCCATGTAAGTGTAGAGCTGGAAGCGACTGCAACCACACTGCCCCTCGCTCCAGTGGTTCCAGCTCTTGTGTGGTTTCTGCTTTCATCCCTGCACTCCAAGTTCAGAAGCCTCTTTCCAGGCTCCAAAATTAATCACCATTTTCCAGGGCAAGATCCAACACACAGCCATCTTCTTTCAAGCTGGGAGTATGGGTGTAGCTAAGTGACACACAAAAGTAGGAAAAGTTTTGGGGCTTTTTTGGGTTTGGTTTTTTTTTTCATATATCTGGTAAGCAGCAGGAACACTTTTCCCAGGAACTCTGGCACTGCAGAGTTAGAGAGGATCCTACTCTCTGTCCATTCATGCTCCACCAGCTACATGAAACACTTTGCTGCACTGGGAAGAACACCACTGAGGGAACCAGCCAAAGACCTACCTGACAGTGAAGGAAACTGCAGACTCCAGAGGCAGCATATAGGGGACCATCATTGCCGTGGCCACACGTATAGGCAGCATGTTGGTGATGCCAGTCAAGAAACTTCTTCTTTCAGCACAAGCCTCCAAAAGAGCTGAAGACAGAGAAGAACATGGCTGAATCCCCATAACAGGAATGTCATCTTCCCTGCCACACCCCAGTAGTTACCCAGCCTAAGGTCTCCCCTCCCCACCTTTCACTTCTTAAGGAAGTCTTGCTCAGGATAGTAGTTCTCCGAGCACAGCTGAGAACAGCAGCTTTTAGCTTTATCAGACTCCCAAAGGAGTGACCAACAAAATACCCTCCACTCCTTACCACACAGAATACTGTCAAATGAGTCAACCTCTCCCATATTCAGCCTCCACAGGGCAAGCCACAACTTCATCTGAGAGCCACCAGCTCCATCTAATGATCAGCAGGTGCCAGAGCAATCCCTGGGTATGGCCAAGCCCAGCCACAAGCAATACCCACAGATCCCAGTAATCCTCTGAAGTGGACCAGGCAGCACAGGAAGATTGCCTGGGCGCTCTCACTTTGGATCATACCTTGGTTCAGTCTGGGAGGCAAGTGTTCAAAGATGTGCTCTTCAACAACAGCAAGGGCAGTATTGTCCTCTAGTTGGTCCTCAGCTTCTGTTTCTTCCTCTTTCTTCTCTCCTGGGGGTGCTTCTATGGCAAGGAGAGGACGGGCAGGACTTGGACGATGAAGGAGACCTGAGAAGAAGTCATACCATAAGGATGATACAAACTAGCAGCCCTGCCTTGCCTGGCCTTTAACGTTAGTCCTCACCTCACCCTAACACCCCTCAGACAGACAGACATCACAGCTAGCCTCTTTAGCTTACATCTATCGTAATGCTTACCACAATGAGTTAGAAATCTTGCTCCTTTAATATCATCCTTTCTTTCCCTACCAGAAATTTTAACTTTTCCCCTTTAAGTACTGCAGGGTGCTGTTCAGCAGTGTTTTGTTGCTATAATCTGCCAGGCACCAATCTTGCAGGCAAGATTTCCCTCCTGCAGCTTAAATCCACAAACACAGCTGCATGATTGCTCTTATCCCAGTAAGGTACACATTACAGAGCAAACAAATGTGCTTGATCTGCTGTAAATTGACAGTAGGTGGCATCAAACACACACTCAACCTCTTAAAACAGTTGGAGGCAAGAAAGACCAGTGTTTTATGTAGAAAGGAGTGAAACAGTAGTGTCAAACTGCCAGGTGCTGAGGGCTGCTGAGGGCATGCCTGCACTCTGCACTGCTGTGCCACACTAGACACAGCCTCCTCCTTTTTATGTGCAGCTAGGGTATCTGCAGGAGCTCCAAATGGCACCTAACAACTGCGCTGGTGTAGCACTGAGACCGTACGAAGTAGCTTCAACGATCCGTTGTGCCACCACCACTGTGGTATCAGTGGTTAGAGTCACCCTGTGTTGCACCAGAAAGGTGTCCACTCCACCTCCACTTCCTGAAGTGCTAGCACAGGCTTCTTAATGGAAATCCCATAGTAGCTCAGTTCTGCCCTTCCACCTTTCAAATGCACCATTGTCTATCCTCAGAGCCAAGCCACCAAGCCTGGCACAAAAGAGGCAAATCAGCGCAGCTTAAAAACACCCAGTTCCTTACCATTCTTCTTCAGGAAGTGCAGTGCATCCCGATAGCCCTGCTTGCACATATCCCGCAGCACCTGGGGGCAGAGGAAGGCAAGAACATGTAATTTGGAGATTGTCTGGCTGAGCAGAGCAAACACCCAGCTCAATGCTGGCTTTAGAGGAATTCTCCTAACTCCTAAGCTACCCCAAGGACAAGTTTCATCCTTGCCAGCTCTTCCCAGGCTTTGAGCAAGAACGGGAGGTATAACATGAATACACTGGGGACAGGAGTCACAGGATAAATCAGATTGGGACACTTGGAATCCTACTTAAGTACAGGCTTAGAGTTGCAGCCACCTCATTTCCTCACCTACGGCTGATGCCGCGGCAGGCAGTCTTCAGCGAGTCACTCTGACAAGCAGCCCAGAATACTTCCCAGCAGATGCCAGGAAAGGCCATTGCATTTGCAGATAAAGCCAGCTAACACTAGAGGGGGGCAGGAAAAAGCTTGTCCAAGTAATTCAGCACATGAATGCATGCTTATGCCCAAACGCCGGGTCTATCTGAAGCTTCATTTGCTCAGAAGCATGCAAAGCTGTTTGCAGTGCCACCTGCTCTATCTGCACTTTTTAAGAGACAGTCACTGCTGCAAGCTGGCAGCTCCATCCTGACACCTTAGAACACTCAAGAGCACATTGGTTCTGATGGTTAATACATCCGTGTTTACAAGTGAGCCTGGCTTCCTGGCAAACACCACTCTAGAGAGAACAACATGGGAATGCTTTCCAAGCAACTCCTACCACCTAAATTCCAGATCTCCCAGTAGCAAAAGAAAACCAAGCCACCTGTACAACCTTGTGCAGATGGTCAAGGCTTTCCAAGTCACTGGGTTCATAATGTCAAGGTTAAAAACCAGACAAAGAGATACAAAACTAACAGTGTCTGGAATCTTGTTCTGCCAAAGTGCACAGTATAGCCAGGACCTGTCTACTGTCCCCAACTTCTGGTGCTGCCAGGAGACTCACCTGCGGCTCCGGAGGAAACAGGGCCTTTGAGAGGCGGTAGAGGTTGCGAAGGTTGAACTGGATGCTTGTATTGGTGACTCTCAGCTCATGCATGTTTGTGGAATCATCCCGTGGACAGATATCGCTCTCTCCTGAGAATGGAGACACCGTGATTGTATTCTTCAGCTCATATCGGGGCAAGTTGTCAGAAATCCCTCCATCAACGTATCTCTGAAATCAAGACAAATGAAGAACTTTTCATTCTTGTAACTGATCAAATGGCTTTTGTACTGTGTCACTGTTCATATTTTTGCCAACAGCTTGGGAACAGAATGGAGTACATCCACCAGCACTGAAGGAGTCAAAACCAGGGATAGCACAGCTGTGTTGTCTATAATCTTTTGCTATGAACCTTTCTTCCTTACGGTAAAGTGTGTTGATCACAATTGTTCAATAAGAAAGGCCTATTCTCTTGTGCGACTGCTGACTTACACCCATGGGGTTTGACTGCTGTCCAATTAAATAATATGACACACCAACGACCACCTGCAGTGCAAATTAGCACTGATCTAAGCTGTCACACTGTGACTTTGTGCCATTTTTCACTTGTGTTTAAAACAAATATGCTCAGACACAAGTCCCCACGGGCAGAAGCATTGTTACCTAAGAGTAAAACCACATGATTTGTTGCTAGCAGGCTTATCAAGCAGCAATACCAACACATGCATACACATTTGGAATCTACTTGCTGTGGTGTGATAACAGAGAACGAGGGACTTGGGGTTTGCTCCTAACATGTACCCTCTTATCAGAGGACGTTCTGTACCTACGTACCATAAACACATTTGCGTTACCCTTGCAGAAGGGCAACTCCAGTAGCATATACTCAATTCAAAGCATTTGTTGCAGTACCATAATTGCACAAGGAGCTGAGCAAGACAATCCCTATCACAGGCCTTTGGCAGAGCAAGCAACATGTAGAAGATAAAAGGAAGGTGATGTTGGTCAAGCCAAAAGAGCAGCAAGTTTAAGACTTTGCAGAACAACAACTCAAGCTCTTGTGAACCTCAGTTACAGGAGAGTCTTGCTGATTTCGTATCAAGGTCGATCTTGCCACTTGCTGCCTGGAACCCTTCCCTTTGGATGCATTCAAAACAAATCATCATACAGGAGCTACATATCCCCATAAGCAGCAGCTGTAACATCTTTCAGCTCTCTGCTGGGTTAGGAGCTGAGCCGGCAGAGACTGAACTCGGGCAGAGCATGGAAATGCTGATCAGAAGAGGATCATGCTTTGCCTTCACAAGTAGGCTGACCACTGACAGCAGTCTTTTGCTGCACAATGTCTAGAAAAATGCTGGGTGCTTTGCCTGGAGGGCACATTGCACTTTGTTCTCTCTTGCTCTGGATGGCAGACAGGCAGAGACCTCTTCAAGCAGCTCCTCTGAGCCTGGTGAACAGTTCATAGACTTTTGGGCTGAAAGCAATCAAATTCAGCTATAGGAATCCAGTTTCCATTGAGGAGGCAGGGTCAGAGTGGACTGCACAGTGGGTTTCTTTGGGGCAAACTAAATCTCGAGACTACCTTTGCATATAGCCTACACATTCAAGGGAAATGGTTTGTAGGTACAGTTGTAGGCTACAGCAGCACTAACTTGTAGCACAAGGCATATTGTCATCACATCAGGCCTTGTTCACCAAACACAGTATCAAAACACACGTAGAGACTCCTGCACCACCTGGGTTTGGGCAGCAAAGAAAGTGGAAGGATGGGATAGATTAAACTCAAGAAGTACACCCTCTTGGGGTGCTGAGTGTTCCTAGTGTTTTCTAGACAGAGGTGCCAAAAATCAATTGAACCCTCACTCCCTTCTAAAGCGGGCATCAGTCTTCCCTAAACCAAAATCAACCACAGCAAACTGGCATTGTCATCATCTGCCCCAAGCTGCTCCACTGAAAGCCAGACCAGTCACAGCTAGAGTTAGAGATGTCTGGCCAACTCCCTCTGCAAGGATGAGATGATGACGGGATGAGTGGGAAGAGGACAGAGCAAAGCAGGCGGCACACGCTTCGTTTGAAGAAGATGGAGGTAAGCGTTTTGGCCACTTAGCTAAGACAATAGTTTTGCAGTAAGGATGCAGAAACATAGGGTTCCCTGAGGGTGGCAGCACAAGTGCACGGATGCCATTAGGAAGAAGCCTTAACTACAATAAGGCTGACAGGCAAAGTCTTCTTCTCACTGCATGGAGATCTAGGAATACACGTGGAAACCCCACTCCCTGGTTCTGCAGGTGATGGCAAGTACCATTCCTTACTCAGTATCAACTGCCACTTCTTTGGATTTGCCTGAACCTCCAGGAAAGAAGCCCAACCTCTCTCCAACCTCCTGGAAAGCCCCTAAGAGTGCAGAGCCACGGGCTGGAGCCCCCAGCTGCCTGCAGGTGTGAGCAGCAGCTTTTGGCAATGGTTCACGGACTGAGGTAATTTCTGGGGTGCCCAGTTGCATCCCTTATTGTGTCCTCCACGGGGCCCCTCACTTGTGAGCTGTCAATTTGCTTTTTTACCCTTGTTAGGAGTTCATCTCACCCATGTGCCACAGATAGTTCATGGCAAAAGTGTGTGTTGACAGATCAGTTATCAACCCTTCAATTTCTCTGTATTTGAGAATTCCTTTTTTCCTCCTCCCACCCATCTTCATCATCCATTCCATGGGGCTACCAGAGCTTAGAGACATGAACACTGAAAGAAGATTAGGAGGAAGACAGAATATGGGTTTTACACCTTGCACGCAATTGTATTGCCCTGAAAACTGGTCCTCATGCCAGGCCTGTCAGTCTGTCCTGTGATACATACAATAATCAAAGGCGCGCTAGAAACCATGCAGTCCTTTTTCAAGCCTTTTGCTGGGCTCATACTCAATCTGACTTAACCTCTCCCCTTGCCAGCTCTCCCCTTCAGAAACAGAAAGGGCCATGATTTTCTGGGGAAGAGGTAGGAATGAATTTCTTCATCTCATCTATTCCCTCCCCACCTTTCCCCATGAGGAATCTTGACATGAGGAGTCATCCCTCAGAGTGCCAGGGCAGCTGCACATTCCAGAAAGCCTCATGCTGTACACAGCTTTGGAATTTTGAGATTTTGCCTGATTCACACAGACCTCAACTGGCCCCAAAGAGGTGTCAGGCAAGAGCCACTGCTATGCTCCCACTAGCTGTGGGACAAAAACCCTGCCTCCAATTGATAAGCAAATGTCAAACCATTACTGATTCTGTCACTTCTCTGAAGAGTTGGACATTGGACATTTCTTCTAGGTCATTTCCCTACCCAACATGCTTGCACAAGACAAAACCAGCCAACTGACCTCAGTTTCAGGACACAGGTAGTAGTGGGAGCAGATTTGATGCTCTGGTCTGACAGACTGAGGCATCTTGGTCAGGTTACTTATGGAAAACCAGGGCACACATACATTAATAGCAGTCCTCCCTCTCCCTTTTGACTATTTAGTTTGAAAACAAACTGCCTTTTAATGTGTACATTAATCTACAGAGCACAAGGGGAGTCCAACTCAACTGTGGCCCTTAAGCATGACTGCAATATTGAGAGATGCTCCAGCATTTTCATTTCTAACATGCAAACACAGAAGAGAGAAATGGTTCTGGACAGCCTTGGACAGGATATTAAAGAAAGCTCTTGCAGGCAGCAGAACATTATTCTCAGAGGAAGGTCAGGAAGAACTCCACGGAAAAGAGGTCTGGTATCAGCACCAATAGTTAAAACCCCACAGAAAGCGTTTAGGTATGTGGGAGAGGGACTACACTCATTATTTCTATCCCGGACCTAAGTTCTTTCCACATGCAGAGGGTTGGAGCCTCAGTGATGGAAAGTGCTGGGCTAAGCAGCCAGAAGAACTATCTGCTACATCAGCCAGCAGTTGTCCAGATTGCTATATATTACTATCATGTTAAATCCTCTAGTCTTCCGGACATTTATAGCCAGCATTTATAGGCAGCAGCAGAAAGAAGGCACATTCACTGCTGGAAGTTGTTTATTTGGGAATTTCTCATGCCTCTTCAGGCTTAGTGTTGCCATCAGACAGGCAATAAGACTGCCAAAATGGAGTACCAGCATTTCCCTCTTCTTATTCATTAGTGCATGATTTAATGAAGCAGCATCTTAAGAGTCTTACTTACCACTCCACGCAAGGTTGGAGGTATCAGCCCACAGTAGACAGGTATAAAGGTGCTGCAGACACAGGCCTGAGAGAGAAAGAGATCCGGAACATGAGAGGCAGATCAAAGCTTACCAAACTTATTACTCTTCTCAGAACACCATGCTGGCATGCGCTGACAATGAGAACAAGGCAAAACAAAACTGCTTGCAGTTCCTGCCTAGCCCTGCGCAGCAAGTTTCCATTCACCTGGATCAGCTCTTCCTTGGAATTGAAGTCTGACAGTATCACGTTTTCTCCATCAGAAACCCGCGTCAGGGAAATACCCAAACGTCCTGCTGCAACCTCATGCCCATTCTCTGGCACAGTCTTGGACAGGCAGATCCGAATGGTCTTCACCAAGTTGAAAGATGGGTGGAGTGGGCCTAAGAACCTCTTCCGGGCTTCTTTTGACACTCGAATAATGCTGGCGCCAGCCTCACCTGCAACAAGAGAAAGAAAAATGCACCATGAAATCCTTGCAAAACCAGATTTCTCCTGCACAAAATCAGGCACAGAAAGCCTCATTCACAGCTTTACTCAGAGGTTTCTCCCCACTGGTTGATATATACATATAACTCAAGATAAGAGACTACTACGGGCAGTGTTAGAGAAGTCATGGAAGTTTGCTGTCTTGACCCTCGCACTCCTCCATTGCAAAGAGCCACCCTCATCTTATATATGTTTTATACAGTTAAGGAAGATCGCACACATCCGGCTAAGGCCTCACACTTTTTCTTAGATCCTGTTTCACTGGCCAAAGCAGGGCTGGTAAAAACACAGACTAACAAAGAAAACAAGGGAGATGCTTTAACAGCTTTGAGTTTTTAACTAAATCCACTTCAAAACATCTTTCACTAAAACTTTTCTAGTAAACATCGTCTTTTTCCTCACATAAAAAATAAAGTCATTTGCCTGGAAGCAAAAGTGCCAATAAACAGGAATGCTGGTGCTTTCCAGCTTAGCGATCTCAGCTCTGCTGCGATGTCAGTGACTTCTCAACGTCAACAAGACAGACAGCATACTACATTAAGGAATCAGTGACTTAGTGCCACCTGCAGAGTCTTTGGTGTCCCATCCCTTCTGTGTCAGATTCCACTGCAGTACACTAGGCCCCAATGGCAAGCAGGACTCAGGAAGGCATGCCTGCTTCGCCCTTTCACACAGTGACACAGCTGAGTTTGGAGGAGAGGAGACATCCTATCCGCACAGAAGGGAAGGCATCTGCTAAGCCCATTATCTCACGGTCACTAGGAGCCCAAACTGGCAAAAGCATCAGAGCTCGCCAGTGGGAAAGGAGGGATGGGAGAAAACAAACCAAAAACATCAACCCACGCCAAACCCTCAGCACCCACATGCTGCCCTTTACACACACTGTCTGCGGCTTTCACACACATCTCCTAGCCATGGTGAGATACAGACAACAGTTCCTGTAAGCACCACCCAACCGCTGCACTCCCAGGGGCATTTGGAACATACACAAGAAGAATGTGAGGGGAATAATTAAAGAAACCAGGACAAGAGAGGCATGCTTTCACAAATCAAGACTTCTCTCCAATCAAGTTTTATTGACTGCCACATTTATGAGGAAACTAATTAACTTTCAAATGTAGCCTCTCCTTGGGGGAAAAAACATGTTAAGAGACTGAAAAAACCCTATGATTCAGAGCTCCCAACCATGAGTGAGCTGTGGGGACATTAACGAAAGTGAAGATCAACAGCAGCAACATTAAGTGAAATTTAGCTTTAATTCTGATCGTGTACTTCAAATAGACCCTTAAAGTCTACACCTCAACCCTATGAATGACTAAAAGTTCAGTTCTCGGAGAAAAATGAAAGACTATCAGTTCAAGCCAACTGGAAATCCCTCCATTTTGCTCTCCCACCCAGTCTTGCAATCACAGAAAGGAGGTAGCAGAATGAAAGCATCCAAGTTAGACCCAGGTTAATAAATATAATGGAGATAAGAGCAACACCACCCTCAAAGCTATGTTGACACATCCCAGTCTTTTGCAATACACGTGTGCCAGCAACATGTTTTCCACCAACACAGCCTGGGAATGTGATTCTGTGCTTAGGAAACCCATCAAGATCAGCAGCTCAAGCACGCATAGAACTAGACCCTTGAACATGACCACAGACTCTGGGGTCAGGATTTTAGGCACTGTGAGGTAGCAACTTAGCAGAAAATCCAAGTTACCCCCTCTGAAGCAATTTTTAGCACTATAATCCCAGTCTTTTGCTCTGTCCTAGAGCAATGTTTAGCAGTCTAATTCTGATCTTACTTACTCAATTAGCAGTAAGCCATTGAGCCCAGCCTGTTCCAGATAGTAGCCACATGGTTCAACATCTTCCCAACATGAAGGAAGTCGCCCTCACAGAAATTACATTTTATCAGCACCATGACATTAGCACTCATAACGTTCCCTAAGATGCCTTCACATCTGACAAGGGGAAGAAAGACACACAAAGAACTGCAACAGAGCTGAAAACTGAATGAAGCCCAGCCCAGCACCTTATCCACACAACCCCAGGAAACTCCACTGTCTGGAGTGCTGAAAACCCCAGTGGGAGGGTGGGTGTTGAGCGTGCAGCCATGGGGAGATAGCCTGTGTGCAAAGCCCATGCTGGAGGGGGTGGGTGGGTTGGGGGGTCTGTGCCACCCAAGAAAGACACACAAAGAACTGCAACAGAGCTGAAAACTGAATGAAGCCCAGCCCAGCACCTTATCCACACAACCCCAGGAAACTCCACTGTCTGGAGTGCTGAAAACCCCAGTGGGAGGGTGGGTGTTGAGCGTGCAGCCATGGGGAGATAGCCTGTGTGCAAAGCCCATGCTGGAGGGGGTGGGTGGGTTGGGGTGTCTGTGCCACCCAAGAGATGGGGCTTAGAGAACAATGCTTTCAGACTTGGCATCTCAGCGTGCAGAAAGATTTGACAGCAATACTGAAAACGACTGCAATTAAATTGAGCTTATGATTTTTTTGAGCTACAGCAGGAGCTGGAAGTTGCTTAAGAAAAACAAAACAGCGAAGTCCCAACTATGCCAGGAAAAAGACCGTCAGCATTTGAAGGAAGACTTCACTTGTAGCTGCTCTATCACCATTTCACAGCCAAGTGGGGTGGGAGGACAGCGAAGAACAGAGGATGAAATAAGAATTGCTGCTAATTAGCAATTTCATTCTTTGAGTACTTTCTGGGTATTTGTTGTTTGGAGTTTTTTAATACACGTGTGCATACATGCACACACACACAGGAGCTTCTGAGGTATTTCAGTGTAAGGGCACCTGTGATTCTGTTGGACTTGCTGGCTCATTTGCATCGAAGCTGAACGCAGAAGAGCTCTGTGGGAGAGACGAGGACAGGGTGATCTGCAGCACCACCACCTTTCCTGGAAATAAGGCTAGCTGAGGGTTCAGCCAAAGGAGTCGGGTTTACGTAGTTAGATCTGTGACAGATGAAAAGCCCTCTTGGAAATACATTTGGGAGGAGAGAGAAGAGGTGAGAGTGTTTTAATCCTGTTACTACCAGAGGTGCTATTCCAGGAAAACCAGCTCAAATTCTGTTCACAGACTGCCAGAAGGAGCAGCTGAATGAGGGGTGGTCAAGAGAGAAGTTCTGCAGAGGTCAGCCATAAGCTGTCAATTATTACTAGGACTAGTCCAGTGCCAATTCCAGTCCACAGAAGTTTCCCATGGTTTTTGATGGATCGGGTGACTCAGGACACAGGGTCACAGGAAAAAGCTAAATTAAGTTCCTCTTCCTTTATTGAAGTACGTACCGAGGGGCAGAGACAGTCCCTAATAGCTGGTATTGGTTGTTGGGAAAACATTTCATTCTTCTCCCACCAACCAATTAATTCAACACTTCTCCCTACACAGATTTACTAAGCCAATATTTCTCTAAAAATTATATTAATATGTGGATTATTCCATTTTCATTAGAAAAGCCATATCTCCCTCCTTCCCTGCCCCCACCACTGCCGCAGTGGGTGGTGTTATATATGAACCTGAGTACTGCAGGGCCATTGTCCTTATCTGAATTTCAGTTGTGATGACGCAAAGAAGCATCAGACAGTTGTGTCCTGAAACACCCCAACGTGTCCCTTGCCAGACAAGGCGGCCAGCTGCTCCACCTCTGCTGGTTCATCCCATGATTCTTCTGCATCAGCTACCAGGGGCAAGTTACTGTTACCAATGGGAAAAGACCTGAAGGCAGCTGCTAGTTTGCATTTAATTTTTAAGCTAATGTTAAGCCAGCTTCACATTAGCTTATTGACACAGCAAGACTGTTCCCTTAAAGAACTGGCTTTCACCCCCACCAGTCATGCTCAACTCCAAAATAACCCAGTATCTAAGTCTCTACTGCCTTGCATCCCCTAAACTACCATTCTCTAACCTGAAAAGCATTCAAGCAGCATGTGCTATTTATAACTGTATAGAAACATCTCCAGCCACAGCAGCCTACTGCTACTCTGCTCTGGAAGAGGAGACAAGCTGAAGACCCATCATCTAAAACTGATGTTAGCCGGGCCACTGGGAAGACCCCTAACCGCAGCTAAGAGCTCTGAGATGAAACAGAAAAGGCTACTTCAAGCCTGTGGAATGCACAAACATAAGGACCCTTGCAAAGGTTAAACACCCTACAGGAGGAGGGGTGATGCATGGGGAAGAAGGACCTCTTTAGACGCACATCTTCAGCAGCAGGGCTTTTGCGCCAAGGGCACCGTGATGCTCACCTGTTGATATCAGATCACATTGACATCCATTTGCCAGCCAGCAAAAGGACAGTTGACCCATAAAATATTTCAAGTGGAAAAAAAAAAAAAAGCCTAAGATACAAATAAAAATAGGAGGAGAGCAGGCTGAAGAGGGAGAGGGGCATTCTGGACATTCCACCCAGCAGCTCCTGTGACTGTGGCTCACCCATGACACTGCAGCTCCTTCTGGAAAAGCTCCACATCGGCACAAAGATCACCCCCTGCGCCAGGGACATTCCTGCTCCCTGGCTCGTGCAGCAGTAAACAGGATGCAAGCTTAAAGGAAAGGTTCTCCAAAAGCAATGGAGAACAGAAGATGTCCCCTCTCCCTGCTGGTAGGAGGCACCAGCAGAGAGGTCACACCCCAGACTGCAGATGCCATACCTCTCCTGGACAAATGGAGCAGGAAGGGAACTGTGCAGATCCCTGCTAATCCTGCTTCTCACTCAGCACAAGCCAGAACTCAGACTCCTTCCTAGACATCAGCGATACGCAAGGCACTGCTGCTCTCTCCTCAGTCCCATTGCCCAGAGAAGGCTCCAGACTGGCCGGACACATCAATACCAAAAGCTTTGAAAGAAAGCCCGCCAGCAGAAGGAAGTCCAGGTGCATTTTGACATTCCTCCAGTACCTGGAGAGCCCGATGCCTTGTTACTTTGGGATGGCATGACCGAGCTATTTTGA